TCAATGTAAAGGTCAGAAGTAACCTTGTGATGGCTTTGTGATTTCGCCGGGATTTAAAATATTCACGGTTTAATGAAAAATTTTTATTTTTTTTCAACACAAAAGATATTAAATATTATCCGATGACCACCCAAATTAGTAGGCTTCTTCCCCGCCCTAAACTCTATCTACATGCGACCTGTATAGCTACTGCAAAATCCGAAATTTTTTCAGTATTTGGTCCATTTCAACCCCTAAACATTTGACGATCATCTCCAAAAGCAATAGGGTTCTATTCTGGTCCAAGCCCCACCTACATTCTGAATTTCGTGAAGATCGGGCCATAATTGCGACCTGTAGAGTGATTACAATTTAACATGGACAGACGGACAGACGGACGGACGGACATACATAGCTAGATCGACTCAGCTCGGCGAGCTAGGAAGATCCATATATACTTTCCTATGTGGGAAATCAATATTTCGAGGTGTTACATAATTTTTGGCCCAAATAAACTTATAATACCCCCAACACATAGTGTTGTAGTGTATAAAAACACTACAAATGTACATTAGAAAAAAGTAAGTCAAAATGTAAAAACATCATGCAAAATAAAACATTACTATTGTACATTTCAAAATTCAAAATGAAAATTTTAATATATCACATTTTTAACGATTTTTTTGGATATTATCCTTTTCGGAGAGGAGACAATTCCGAATTTGTATGAATCGTTAAAATCAGTCCAGCGGTTCTTAAGTTATAAGCGTAGTAACTAACACAACTTTCATTTATATATATAAGATATATAAATTCATGATTACACAATTGAAGCCAATCGACACGTCTGAGGAAAGAGTTAAGGACAGGGAAGAATACTAGCATTTTGGATGACCATTGGATTATATTTAGCTGTAGACCACACAACTAAAATCACGACGGTGTGCGTAAATATTGAGCAAATGTCCCTGGTGACATAATTTTAAAAGCAACATCTTTCAAAATGGATTTGGACATAAGGGGGCTTCTAACATATTGTAGTGTTGTAAGGTATCACATGGTCGGTCCCGCACGACTATAGACTTTGCTTACTTGTTTCTATTATTTTTGTGCACAATTTTCATACTCGTCGTTTACAAAAAAAAAATCATACTCGTCGTTTCTAGAAACCCCATGCCTACCAATCGTGACCCTTATGTAAAATTTCCAAATTCCCTGCTTAAGCCCTTGAAACCGGCACGTTAATTACTCCGATTTCATTCACTGCTGCCGTGGTCGTCATCATCATCACTCACCACTTTAACAGATGCAGATTACATGTATTAAATATTCATTTACAATAAAAAGTTGTAAATTTTTATTTATTTGATTTTTGAATCAAAAACAAAAACATATATATCCAATGGCAGCATTGGAAATTGGATTTTCAATTACATTTAAACGATTGCCCACTGGTGCCATTTTTTTTTTTTTCAACATATAAATCATTTATATGGGAATTTTTGTATTAATACAGGCGATTTTTTTCTCTCTTCTCTATTTATGAAAATCTGTAAATATCCATTCGCGGTGTTTGCCAATTTGATGAAATAAAGTGAAATTCATATTTCAGTAAATACATAAATGTTTTATGACAGAACAACAATTTTTGTTGTAGTTTAAATTGAGTGATTTATTGATGGGATTTTTCTTTTGAGTAATTTCGGAGTTTAATGCGGGAGGACCAATTGGATTTTTAACAAATAAATTGTTTTTTTTTTTTTTTTTTTCAAAATTTCTGTTATATATATTCACAATAAAAACGAATCAAATATTTACACAAAATATAATATTATCTGTAGATTAAAAAATGACAAGTTATGCAAATTTCTAATAACCTTTCTTTTTTTTTCTACCCTACACCACATAGTGGTAAGGGTATTATGTCCTTGTGCAATTGTTTGTTACATGGAGAAGGAAGCGAGCTAGACCATAATTACTTTTAAGGATATTCATCGAATCACATTCTAAATGCAGATCGCATTTATTATCCGATTAAGATGAAATTTTCCGAACACTGTTTGTTTGGTCCGATTCCGGGGGGGTTGAAAGTCCCTCACACGCGTAAAATGCACTCCACAAAAACGGTATTTGGTACCAGATAAATTATGGAGCTTAAAAATACCTCTGTCAGATTTTATCGAGATCGGATCAGATTAGGATATTGCTTACATATACAGGGTGAGATAAAAAAAAATGCAACAAAGCCAAACGCCATAATTTTCACATTTGTTTTTTAAATTTAATTGAATGAAAACACAAAATGTGGGAAATAGCATCAAATCAGTAGTGAAGTGATAGATTTGTCACCTTCGACACGAATTATGGACCTTCAAACGGCCAATGAAACCGACACACGCTGGCCGAATGTTGCTCTGCGGTATTTTGGTACATTCACGACGAAGCACTTACTTGAGTTGATCGACACTTTGGCATTTTTTGTGTCAACCTCCAGACACAATAGTCCAACGGATTGGCATACGGAGATTTTGGTGGCCATTGTGCGCTGGATATGAAGCGAGGAACCTCATTTTGTTTAATACACCCTCTAGAATATTTTCGCGATAATATTCGGCATTTGTTCTGCGGAGAGCGGAGGGGAGAGTGAACATCGGCTGTTTTGGTGGCCCACACCATCACCATGTCGGCGCTTGAGTTCTGGTGGCCAGCTGAAGGTGCACACCAGAACATAGCTGACCTCTTTGGCTAGTAAACACGATCATTTTGTTTGTTTACAAACTGCTGGACAACGAATGTTTCCTCATCGGAGAAAAGCAAATTCGGCAGTTCCCCACTTCCCCACAACTCTTTTAAGTCTATTTATACCCTACACCACAAGGTGGTCAGGGTATTATGTCTTTGTGCATTTATTTGTAACATGGAGAAGGAAGCGAGATAGACCCATAGTTACTTTTGCGGATCTCAATAGAAAAATTTAGATAAAGCTTCCATATATATCTTCGTTCGATTTGCCTTTTATTGTGCACCAAAGGTCTAATATTTGCCCAAATGGGATGGAGTTTGGCACATACGACCGAATTGAGTCTAGATGGTAGTATGCCAAATTTGGTGAAGATCGGTTCAGATATAGCTATAGCTCCCATATATATTGTGCTTCCGATTTGATATTTTTGTCCTTCGCAGCCGTAATATGCACTCTGTAACAATAATATTTGGGGAAATATATATTAAATACAGCTCAGCTCAGCTCGAGATCGGTTAAGATTAGGATATAGCTCCCATATATATGTTTATCTGATTTCAAATTAATTTTGCACCAAATGAGCAATACAAGTCCGAATTTAACAGATTCAAATGCCATTTTCGCACCTGACCTAGCACTGATGCAAATATTAGGATTTGTAAAGTTGGAGCAAAATCGGATTATCCTTTCTCTTTCTGTGCAGTAAATTATTTTCTTTGAAAATTTTAACATTTATAGGACGAGGTACCAGAAGGTGTGGAACGATACTGCGTTATAAAAAATCAATTTCGAAGTGACCCAAGAAAACCAAATGCATATTCGTCATCTATGGGCACCCATAAACCAAAATTAGGATAAAACCAGTAAAGAAAGTCTTAAGTCGGGCGGGGCCGACTTTGTGATACCCTACACCACTTTGCTAATTTAGTTAAGCTCCACATAACAATTTAAAGTTTTTTTTTGTGGGAGAATTCAATCATACACACTATGATTATAATGATAATTTAAAATTCAAAGGACTAAATATGCCGAAGCATTTGTATCTTTTAAATTCGGATGAATTGCCCATTTGGTGCAAAATTAATTTGAAATAAGATAAAGATATATATGGGATCTATATCCAAGTCTGAACCGATCTCGATAAAATTTGGCAAAGATATTTCTGAGCTGTATTTGATATATTTCCCTGAATATCGTTGTTACGGAGTGCATATTACGGCTGTGGGTAACAAATATAACAAATCGGATGAACAGTATATATGGGAGCTTAACTATATCTGAACCGATCTTCACCAAATTTGGCATACTACCTTCTAGACTCAATTCGGTCGTATGTGCCACCCCATTTGGGCAAATATTAGACGTTTGGTGCACAATAAAATGTAAATCGGATGAAGTTATATATGGGAGCTATATCCAAATCTGGACCGATCTCGATAAAATTTAGCAAATGTATTTCTGAGCTGCATTTGATATATTTCCCCAAATATTGTTGTTACAGAGTGCATATTACGGCAGCGGAGGACAAAAATAACAAATCGGATGAACAATATATATGGGAGCTATAGCTATATCTGAACCGTTTTCGATCAAATTTGGCACACTTATTTTCAGGCCTAATTTGGTTGTATGTGCAAAAAACCCTTACTATTCGTGCTGATATTACACGTTTGGTGCACAATAAAAGTCACATCGGGCGAAGATAGATATGGGAGCTATATCTAAAATTGTACCGATTATCTCCAATTTCAATAGGGTTCGTCCTTGGGCCAAGCAAATGATCGGGCAATGAATGCGACCTGTACTTTGTTTACAAAAATACATGGACAGACGGACGGACGGACGGACGTACGGACGGACATGCATAAATCGGCTCAGAATGTGATTCCATGCAGATCATCAAAAGGAACTATGGGTCTATCTCGTTTCCTTTTGCCTGTTACAAAGAAATACACAAAGACATAACACCCTGACCACCTTGTGGTGTAGGGTATAAAAATTGGGTTTTTTTGAAGAATTGTGTTACAGTATAATTTACCACTTCTTTGAAAAATCTGTTCTGGTTCCACTGTATTTGAATTTGCTTAGATTAAGCACAAAATCTAACGAATAACAATGACTTTTAAAAATTATCTCCGTTCCACAAGCAAATCCACAACTGGCCACAATCAATTGAAATATTTTGCATTGTTTTTACTTCCCACTTGCCATAGATTAGATATAAGCCTATGGGGAGGTATATTTAAGAGTTTGCAAATATTCGCCGCAGTAGTGAAGTGATCGTCATAGGGTAGTAGGCCCCCACGGACATATTATAAATATAAATACAAAATGGATTTTCTACAAGTCAACTACGATAAGTACAATAAAATATGGACGGGCCAGAAAATGTCATCACTCTACAATATGGAAGATAATTCGCTGGGTAGAATTTTGTTCACTCAAATGAAAATGCATCCGAGTAAGGTGATACAGGTAAGTTAGAAAGAAAATAAACGTTGAAAATTATAAAAATCTTTTGTGGATTTATATATAGACAATTTTCTGTCACAGACTGTAGTTCGCATTACGAACTCCAAATACATAATCGCTAAAATCGTCAAAATACCGAATATAGGGAGGTTCCTTTATATGGGGGCTATATGAAGACGTGGACCTGCACAGACAATTTTGTGATATAGGCTGTAGTATCCATTACTAACTACAAATACCAAATTTGAAACAATTCCGTTGAATAATGTCGCTAAAATCGTCAAAATGCGGAATATAGGGAGGTACCGTTATACAGGGGCTGGACCTGCACAGACAATTTTCTGATATAGGCTGTAGCATCAATTACGAACTTCAAATACCAAATTTAGCACAATTCCGGTGAATAATGTCGCTAAAATCGTCAAAATACCGAATATGGGGGGGGGGGGTGTACTGATATATGGAGGCTATACGAAGACATGGACCTGCATAGACAATTTTCTGTCACAGGCTGTAGCATCAATTACGAACTTCAAATACCAACCTTGAAACCATTCCGGTGAATAATGACCCTAAAATCATCAAAATACAGAATATTGGGAGGTGCCGTTATATGGGGGCTATATGAAAACGTGGACCTGCGCAGACAATTTTCTCTCCTAGGCTGTAGTATCCATGTCGAACTTCAAATACGTAAGTTGAAATAATTCCGGTGAATAATGTCGCCAAAATCATCAAAATATCGAATATCGGGAGGTACCGTTATATATGGGCTATATGTAAACGTGGACCTATATGACCCATTTACGAACTTTACCTGCCTACTGGCAAAATAAACATGTGTGCAAGATTTTAGCATTCTATCTCAATTCGTTCCAAATATAGCGTGATTAAAACACAGACAGGAGGACATCGCGACAGACAGGAGGACATCGCTATATCGACTTAGAATTTTATGCTGATCAAGAATATATATACTTTGCGCGGTCTAAAATATATATTTCGTGGAGTTACAAGCGGAATGTCGGAGTTAATGTACCCTCCATAGTATGGTGGAGGGTATAAAAATGAATGTTCTAGAGTGCCTAAAACACACAAACATTAGCTACTTTCGTTAAAAAAAGAAGAGCAATCGATAAACAATTAAAAAAATGTTTATAACTATGACACTCAAGAAATCACAAACTCAGATAAGAGACTCCGTAGTGTTATTAGTGACGTTGTTTTCAAGATTATTATCAAAATCAAAGAAAATGTGAATAATACTAGCTATCATCTATAATAAAGGTGTTCAAAATAATAACACAACAAGTTTAAAAGCAGTAAGTTCGGCCGGGCCGAACTTTGAATACCCACCAAATCACACACATCACAATATTTTTATTAACCTAAGGTCTGGAGAGAAGATGGAATATATCGGTTCACTCCTTCTGGAGTGAAACCCACGTCGCAGTGGCCTAAAAATAGCTCGTGAGCTGAAGATATCGCAATATTCCATTCGGCAAATATTGAACAATGAGCTCGGGGAAAAGCCATTGAAATTCCAAAAAGTGCAAGAACTTACACCTCAACGGAAAGAAAATAGACTCGAAAGAGCTAAAGAGTTGCCGAAAGTGGTGAACTGCCCAATTTGGTTTTCTCCGATGAGAAAACATTCGTTGTCCAGCCAAAGAGATTAGCTGAAAATGTTCACCTTCGTAAACCTTCGTAAACTGTGACATAGCATTATGTTATAATTTAACATAGCTGACACTTTTTAAGGGTTGTTGTTGATTTTTATCGTTACAAGGAAATGCTGTGGAATAGATTGTTGAGAGCATATCTATCATAGCTGATATTTTTTACGCGTATTTCCGATATTTTTTGTCGATATAGGAATAACATATTTTTCTAAAATTTTGTAATGCATTTCTGTTATGTCGCCTGCCATCTATTACCTGATTCAAAAATTAAAGCCCATATGCATTTTGTCCAGTCCTTATAGTTTTATGTATTTGATGCAAGTTGCATATATTATTGATTTTTCTTCAATTTCAGATCGATGACATTGATGGCAAGGTCTCCACCAATCAGGAAATGTTGTCATTGGCCATACGCTTTGCACTTTATTTAAAAGGCCGCCGAATGGCAAGTGAAGATATCATTGGCATTGCTGCACGTAACACCACCTATTTGACTCCGGTGGTATTGGGTTGTCTCTTCAACGGGACACCATTTCATGCCGTCAATCCCAACTTTCAGGAAGGTAAGTAAATGAAAATCTACAGGGTGAGATGAAAAAATTGCAACCAACTTCTGACTGCTGTCATTTATAAGACATTCGTCCGACAGCTGTTAAAATTATTCCAGTGACAGCTCATTATATTGCTAACAAGCGTACAAAAGCATTTTGGTGAGAGTTTTCCAAAAAAAAAAAAAAGTTATTCGTGATGGAATTCAGGCATGATAGTGTGATTTCTTTATATTTGGCTGGGAAACCACAAGTGCCCATCGTTAGAGCACTGCAGCGTTTAAATGTGAATAAATCTAAATTGTGTCCCGTACCATCGCCCGTTACGGTGATACTAATAGCGTAGCCCGATGTCAAGGAAGTGGACGGAAGAAAACAGCAACATCAGCAGAAATGGTTCGAAAAGTAAAGAAGTGACTTGATCGAAATCCACATCGCATTAGCCGAAAAAATTGCTCAAGAGCTGAATATATAGCACTATTCCATTCGGCAAATATTAAAGAATGAGCTCGGGGTAAAGCCATTGAAATTCCAAAAAGGGCAAGAACTTACACCGCAACAGAAAGAAAATAGACTCAAAAGAGCTAAAGAGTTGCTTCGCTTGGCCGAAAGTGGTGAACTGCCGAAAGTTGGTCTTCTCCGATGAGAAAATATTCGTTGTCCAGCAGTTTATTTACCAAAGAGTTCAGCTGAAAATGTTCACCTTCGGTTGGCCACCAGAACTCAAGCGCCGGCCATGGGATGAGGTAGACCGTCATAACAGCCGATGGTCGCTTTGCGCTCGTATTAATCGACCTTGACATCAGAATAAATGCCGAATATTATCGCTATAATATTCTGGAGGGTGTATTATATACTTGGCACGCAAACATTTTTTCCGCAGACCTTGGGCATTCCAACTGAACTCAGCACCATCGCACGCCCCACCCAAGAATAGTTACAAAATGAGGTTCCTCGCTCCATTTCCAGCGCACAATGACTACCAAAATCTCCGGATACCAATCCGTTGGACTATTGTGTCTGGAGTATTTTGGAAAGCAAGGTTGGCACTAAAAAATACCAAAGTGTCGATCACCTCAAGCAAGCGCTTCGCCGGGAATGGGCACAAAATACCGCAGAGCAACATTCGGGCAGCGTGTGACGGTTTCGCATTGGCCGTTTAAAGGTCATAATTCGTTCCAAAGATGACCAATTCGAACAAATCTAAACTTATTCTAATATTTGATGCTACTTCCGACATTTTTTTGCATTGAATTTGTTGCAGTTTTTTTTGTATCTCACCCTGTTTCTATGGACTTGGAGTAATTTAAGTTGCAATGATGTTTTCGATTTTTCGACATTTGTCAATTTTTTTTCCTTATTTTCCCCACTTCAGCTTCCATTGCCCACTGCTTTGCCATAACTAAACCGCCAATTATCTTCTGTGATGGCAGGGATTATAAAAAGATACACACAACAACAAAATCGTTTAAACCCGAAATATATACCATAAGTGAACATGTCGAGGGTGTACCCACTGTAATGGATCTCTTCGTGCCGAACCAAATGGAATATTTTTATGCGTAAGTGAAACAATGAACAATGAACTAATAAAAGATGAGGTTTTAATTTACTTACTTTTAGACCACAAAGTCCCACAATGGGGGCTGAACAAACCGTTGCCATTTTGTGCTCCTCCGGAACAACTGGTCTACCCAAGGCCGTTACAGTGGCCGGTCCCAAACTATCACTTGAATATCCGTGAGTTCCAATAATAAAATACGGAAAACAATTTGTTCAAGTCTTCTCTTCTTTTTGACAGTTTATTAAATTCCGATGATGTCTTCTATGCCGCCAGTGGCGTGGATTGGATGAGTGGCCTATCTTGTCTGTTGTGGAATTGCTATACAGGCTGTACCCGTATTCTGACTAGTAAACCCTTCTCTGCTTGCTATTTTGTGGAGCTGGTTAAAAAATACAAAATATCTTCGATTTTCTTGGCACCCATGCATGTGGTGGCCCTAAATGAATGTCCCGATTTCAGGGCAGAAAATGTATCAACCATTCGTGCCGTCCAAGCTGGCGGTGGTTATGTTTCAGAGGAAAATTTTAGAAAATTACAAAAAATCATACCTAAAGCGGTGATTGGCTTCGGCTATGGTCTCACCGAAGTTGGTGGCATTGCTGGCAAATATGGTATCGTACACGGCAAGGCAGTGGGAAAAATAATACCCAATGTCCAGGTGCAAATCGTCGATGATGACGGCAAACGTTTGGGACCCAATGAAGTGGGCGAAGTGGTGGCCAAGGTACCCTGCCGTTGGGCCGGTTATTATGGCAATCCCATTGAAACTCAGCGTGTCATGGACTCCTTGGGTTGGATTCGAACCGGTGATCTGGGTTATGTTGACGATGAGGGCTATATGTTCATAGTGGATCGCAAAAAAGATATTTTGAAATATCGCAGTCTTCACTATTGGCCGGGTGAAATTGAGAATGCCATACGGGAATTGCCCGAGGTGGCGGATTGTTGTGTGGTTGGCATCTTCGATGATAGGGTCGGCGATGTACCCGGTGCCCTGGTGATCAGGAGGAAGGGCAGCAAATTGACCGAACAACAAATTATCGATCATGTTAAGACGCGATTGGTGGAACCCGAGAAGCAGCTGCATAATGGAGTATATTTCGTGGATGATCTGCCCCAAAACAGCAATGGAAAGGTGGTGAAACGTGAAGTCAGAGAAATATTTAAATCATTAATGGCTCAAAATTTAGATCGTTGAGCAATTAAAAAAAATTGTACTATTTTAGTTAAGTAAATTATTTAATTATTTCATAACAAAAATATAAAAAATAAAATTTAGAAAAATTAAATGATCATTGACTTTTTAATCTAGAATTTCCCACCAACATCTCATAGACTCACAGGCTTTATAATTCCATGTAGTAACTTAGACCTACATATATAGTAAATGTGTATATGTTTGAGCCTTAAATGTTAACATTTATTTAAAAATAAGAAAGTAGCAGTATATATCGTTGACATAAAAGACGATTTATTTGAAATCCTTTTACGAGAATTGTTTTAAAAGGCCATGACAACACAAGAAAAAAACGATACGAAAAAAAAAACTTTTGGAAATAAACAGGAAACAAATAATGCAATTTACTTAAGAACACCCATACATCTTTGCATTACAAAAGAATACGCAGGATACTCTCGAATGAAGACAATAATATTTTCAGGTTTTGAACATATTTTTAAAAGGGCTTTCTGACGTTTTTTAAATATTTTCAAAAAAAATGTTCAAGAGAGATATCAACGCGAATTTTTTATGAGAGCCAACAGAGCTACAAAGTTGGATATTTTCAACATATTTTTAAAGGACCAACATAGCTATAAACTTGGATTTTTGGGAACATATTTTTTAAAGGACCAACTGAACTATAAACGTGGATTTTTCAGAACATATTTTCTAAAGGACCAATTGAGCTATAAACGTGGATTTTTTAAACATATTTTCTAAAGGACCAAAAGAGCCATAAACGTGGATTTTTTAAACATATTTTCTAAAGGACCAAAAGAGCAATAAACGTGGATTTTTTAAACATATTTTCTAAAGGACCAAAAGAGCCATAAACGTGGATTTTTTAAACATATTTTCTAAAGGACCAAAAGAGCCATAAACGTGGATTTTTTAAACATATTTTCTAAAGGACCAAAAGAGCCATAAACGTGGATTTTTTAAACATATTTTCTAAAGGACCTAAAGAGCCATAAACGTGGATTTTTTAAACATATTTTCTAAAGGACCAAAAGAGCCATAAACGTGGATTTTTTAAACATATTTTCTAAAGGACCAAAAGAGCCATACACGTGGATTTTTTAAACATATTTTCTAAAGGACCAAAAGAGCCATACACGTGGATTTTTTAAACATATTTTCTAAAGGACCAAAAGAGCCATAAACGTGGATTTTTTAAACATATTTTCTAAAGGACCAAAAGAGCCATAAACGTGGATTTTTTAAACATATTTTCTAAAGGACCAAAAGAGCCATAAACGTGGATTTTTTAAACATATTTTCTAAAGGACCAAAAGAGCCATAAACGTGGATTTTTTAAACATATTTTCTAAAGGACCAAAAGAGCCATAAACGTGGATTTTTAAACATATTTTCTAAAGGACCTAAAGAGCCATAAACGTGGATTTTTTAAACATATTTTCTAAAGGACCAAAAGAGCCATAAACGTGGATTTTTTAAACATATTTTCTAAAGGACCAAAAGAGCCATAAACGTGGATTTTTTAAACATATTTTCTAAAGGACCAAAAGAGCCATAAACGTGGATTTTTTAAACATATTTTCTAAAGGACCAAAAGAGCCATAAACGTGGATTTTTTAAACATATTTTCTAAAGGACCAAAAGAGCCATAAACGTGGATTTTTTAACATATTTTCTAAAGGACCAAAAGAGCCATAAACGTGGATTTTTTAAACATATTTTCTAAAGGACCAAAAGAGCCATAAACGTGGATTTTTTAAACATATTTTCTAAAGGACCAAAAGAGCCATAAACGTGGATTTTTTAAACATATTTTCTAAAGGACCAAAAGAGCCATAAACGTGGATTTTTTAAACATATTTTCTAAAGGACCAAAAGAGCCATAAACGTGGATTTTTTAAACATATTTTCTAAAGGACCAAAAGAGCCATAAACGTGGATTTTTTAAACATATTTTCTAAAGGACCAAAAGAGCCATAAACGTGGATTTTTTAAACATATTTTCTAAAGGACCAAAAGAGCCATAAACGTGGATTTTTTAAACATATTTTCTAAAGGACCAAAAGAGCCATAAACGTGGATTTTTTAAACATATTTTCTAAAGGACCAAAAGAGCCATAAACGTGGATTTTTTAAACATATTTTCTAAAGGACCAAAAGAGCCATAAACGTGGATTTTTAAACATATTTTCTAAAGGACCAAAAGAGCCATAAACGTGGATTTTTTAAACATATTTTCTAAAGGACCAAAGAGCCATAAACGTGGATTTTTTAAACATATTTTCTAAAGGACCAAAAGAGCCATAAACGTGGATTTTTTAAACATATTTTCTAAAGGACCAAAAGAGCCATAAACGTGGATTTTTTAAACATATTTTCTAAAGGACCAAAAGAGCCATAAACGTGGATTTTTTAAACATATTTTCTAAAGGACCAAAAGAGCCATAAACGTGGATTTTTTAAACATATTTTCTAAAGGACCAAAAGAGCCATAAACGTGGATTTTTTAAACATATTTTCTAAAGGACCAAAAGAGCCATAAACGTGGATTTTTAAACATATTTTCTAAAGGACCAAAAGAGCCATAAACGTGGATTTTTTAAACATATTTTCTAAAGGACCAAAAGAGCCATAAACGTGGATTTTTTAAACATATTTTCTAAAGGACCAAAAGAGCCATAAACGTGGATTTTTTAAACATATTTTCTAAAGGACCAAAAGAGCCATAAACGTGGATTTTTTAAACATATTTTCTAAAGGACCAAAAGAGCCATAAACGTGGATTTTTTAAACATATTTTCTAAAGGACCAAAAGAGCCATAAACGTGGATTTTTTAAACATATTTTCTAAAGGACCAAAAGAGCCATAAACGTGGATTTTTTAAACATATTTTCTAAAGGACCAAAAGAGCCATAAACGTGGATTTTTTAAACATATTTTCTAAAGGACCAAAAGAGCCATAAACGTGGATTTTTTAAACATATTTTCTAAAGGACCAAAAGAGCCATAAACGTGGATTTTTTAAACATATTTTCTAAAGGACCAAAGAGCCATAAACGTGGATTTTTTAAACATATTTTCTAAAGGACCAAAAGAGCCATAAACGTGGATTTTTTAAACATATTTTCTAAAGGACCAAAAGAGCCATAAACGTGGATTTTTTAAACATATTTTCTAAAGGACCAAAAGAGCCATAAACGTGGATTTTTTAAACATATTTTCTAAAGGACCAAAAGAGCCATAAACGTGGATTTTTTAAACATATTTTCTAAAGGACCTAAAGAGCCATAAACGTGGATTTTTTTAAACATATTTTCTAAAGGACCAAAAGAGCCATAAACGTGGATTTTTTAAACATATTTTCTAAAGGACCAAAAGAGCCATAAACGTGGATTTTTTAAACATATTTTCTAAAGGACCAAAAGAGCCATAAACGTGGATTTTTTAAACATATTTTCTAAAGGACCAAAAGAGCCATAAACGTGGATTTTTTAAACATATTTTCTAAAGGACCAAAAGAGCCATAAACGTGGATTTTTTAAACATATTTTCTAAAGGACCAAAAGAACCATAAACGTGGATTTTTTAAACATATTTTCTAAAGGACCAAAAGAGCCATAAACGTGGATTTTTTAAACATATTTTCTAAAGGACCAAAAGAACCATAAACGTGGATTTTTTAAACATATTTTCTAAAGGACCAAAAGAGCCATAAACGTGGATTTTTTAAACATATTTTTTATGAAGATAATAATATTTTGCTTATTTTGCTCAGGCTTTGAACATATTTTAAAAAGGGCTTTCTGATGGTTTTTAAATATTTTCAAAAAAAATTCAAGAGAGATATCAACGCGAATTCTTGCTAAGAGCCAACAGAGCTATAAACGTGGATTTTTCAGAACATATTTTCTAAAGGACCAATTGAGCTATAAACTTGGATTTTTGGGGACATATTTTCTAAAAGACCAATTGAGCTATAAACGTGGATTTTTAAACATATTTTCTAAAGGAACAAAAGAGCCAAAAACTTGGATTTTTTAAACATATTTTCTGAAGGACCAAAAGAGCCATAAGAGCAAAATAAGCACCCAACTTTCTTCAAATTTCACACATCCAAACATTTTTGCTAACGCAAGATCTGTTGTGCACAATATTGGTCAAATGCTTCGGAACCACCCACATAAAGGATCAACCGTTTGAATAATCATAACTGAAAGCTGGGGTCTAAATCTGTCGGCAATGCCGACTTATACTAACCGAATATATTTGCTAAAGGACCAACTGAGCAATAAAATACGATTTTTTAAATATATTTTCCAAAAGGACCAACAGAGTTATAAACTTGGATATTTTAAACATATTTTCGAAAGGACCATTCTTAAAGCGTGGATTATAAAAAAATTGTAAAATCTAGTTTAAGTTTTTTTTTTCTAAAAAATATACAACAATTAAACAACAAAATGCTAAATATGTCCTATTAAATGGAATCATATTTTGTGGTTCCACTGTATACAATCGCCAACGGTAAGATAAAGACAAATCTAACAAATGACAACGGCATTCAACAAAATTATCTCAATTTAGAATTATCTCAAATTTAAAAGTGGCCACTACCAATCGATACCGTCAGCATTGTTTAGATAGATAAGACACATGCTTAGATAGATAAGACATAACCCTCAGACTTTGCAACTATTTTTGGCAGTAGTAAAGTGATCGTCAAAGAATATAGCCCCACGGAAAATTTTAAAACATCGAAAACATAAAATTATGGATTTTCTCCAAGTCAACTACGACAAGTACAATAAAATATGGACTGGCCGGAAAACGCCATCGCTGTACAATATGGAAGATAATTCGCTGGGTAAAATTTTGTTCGCTCAAATGAAAATGCATCCGAGTAAAGTGATACAGGTGAGTTTGTTGGAAAAAAAACAAGTAAAAAAGCTATAAGTTCGGCCGGGCTGAACTTTGAATACCTTCCACCATTTGGCACAAAGTTGGCAATTAAAAAAAAATAATAATAATAAAATCCGTTAAAAATTCTGTTAAAATTTTAAAAATACCGAATGTAGCCGTATATTAGGGTCTATACGACCACGTGGACCTTTATAAAACGTGGACCTGCACAGACAATTTTCTGGCATAGGTTGTAGTATCCATAACGAACTTCAAATAGAAAATGTGAAATACTTTCGGTAAATCATGTCGCTAAAATCATCAAAATACCGAATATGGGGGTTCCGTTATATGGGGCCTATACGAAGACATGAATCCGCATAGACAATTTTCTGTCATAGGCTGTAGAATCCATTACTATAAATTTAAAATAGTTCCGGTGAATAAGGTCGCTAAAATCATCAAAATACCGAATATGGGGGTTCCGTTATATGGGGCCTATACGAAGACGTGAACCCGCACAGACAATTTTCTGTCATAGGCTGTAGAATCCATTACGAACTTCAAGCTCTAAATTTAAAATAGTTCCGGTGAATAAGGTCGCTAAAATCATCAAAATACCGAATATGGGGGGTTCCGTTATATGGGGCCTATACGAAGACATGAATCCGCACAGACAATATTCTGTCATAGGCTGTAGTATCCATTACGAACTTCAAACACTAAATTTGAAATTGTTCCGGTAAGTAATGTCTTTAAAATGATCAAAATACCCAATATCGGGAGGTACGGTTTTATGGGGGCTATACGAAGACATGGGTCTACATGGCTCATTTTCTGTCTTGGGATGTAGTATCTATTACGAACTTCAAATGCCAAATTTAAAGCAATTATGGTAAAAAATGTCGCTAAAATTATCAAAATACCGAATATCGGGAGGTACTGTTATATGGGAGCTATACGAAGACGTGGACCCGCACAGACAATTTTCTGTCATAGACTGTATTATCCATTACGAACTTCAAGTGCCAAATTTGAAATAATTCCGGTAAATAATATCGCTAAAATCATAAAAATACCGAATATCGGGAGGTACCGTTATATGGAAGCTATACGAAGACGTGGACCTACATGGCCCATTTTCTGTCCTAGGCCGTAGTATATATTACGAACTTTAAATACCAGTGATTTCCACAGACGGACGAACATTGCTAAATCGACATAGAATTTTATGCTGATCAAGAATATATATACCTGGTGGGGTCTAAAATGTATATTTCGAGGTGTTACAACCGGAATGACAAACTTAATATACCCTCCATACTATGGTTGAGGGTAAAAACTGAACCAAATCTATCGAAAATTAAGGAGAATAAAGTGAGAGTGTTTTATTTAAAACATTTGGAAGGTAATACCCCTTGTGTTATGCTTCAATATTTGATAGGTTATACCCCTGTGTTATGCTTCACCAGAAGTGATATGGTATTTCTGCTTATTTTGTTCTTGCAAATTAGTTAAGCTTCCGTAAAAGTTGTCTTTATAAAAAAAAGTTTATTTCTTTGTGGAGAAAGATGGTAATATAAAGAGCCACCAATCCTCATCCGTTCCCTTGGTTTTTGTTTTGGGAATATTCTCCCCAGGAGTTATTAAACAATAACTCCTATGACAAAAACAATTTTCAACCCAATACAATTAAATTAAAACCAAAATTCTGTTGGCATTTCTTCTAAATCTAGCCACTCCATTACAACATCTAATTTCTGTAAAATTTGAAACTACGAACTTTCAATCTCAAAAATGTAAGTAACTCTTTTGTGAAACGAATGGACTTTATTTCGTAATCTTTTTAAGTAATTATATTATATTCTATATCTATAAAAGAGGAAAATGTTTGTATGTTTGTTTGTTTGTTTGTTTGTTTGTTTGTAATTTATGGACTCGAGAACTGCTGAATAGATTTTCCTGAAAATTTCCATATATACTGCAACATCGCCTGAAAGTAACATAGGCTATATACATTTTTGAATTTCCACTTGGAACTGGAGATATAGCATCCGAATCGGAGGTACCTCCCAAAAATTTAGATTTTATATGCACATATCTATTGATTGGCAGTCTCCAAATTTGGAATACGTAACGGAATTTGGAACAAAAATAAGTTTGCCAAATTATATTGTAATCGGTTCAGATTTAGATATAGCTCCCATATATATTTTCGACCGATTTCGTTCATTTGATGCCTCAAACACAATATGAATGTTCGATTCCAATGAAATTTGGAATGTGTGACGGGATTTAATCCGAAAATAAATTTGTCAAATTATATTGAAATCGGTTCAGATTTGGATATAGCTCCCATATACATTTTCGGCCGATTTCAAGCATTTGATGCACCAAACACGCTATGTATCCCCAATTTCAATGAAATTTGAAACGTGTGGTAGATTTTATCTAAAAAATTGATTTCCCAAATTATATTGAAATTGGTTCAGATTTGGATATAGCTCCCATATACATTTTCGGCCGATTTCATGTATTTGGTGGACCAAACACGACATGTATTTCCAATTGTAATGAAATTTAAAATAAGTAACGGAATTGGGAGCCAAAATGAATTTCTCAAATTAAATATATGGATATGGATGGATATAGCTCCCATATATATTTTCGACCGATTTCATGTATTTGATGCACAAAACACGCTATGTATCTCTAATTTCAATGAAATTTGGAATGTGTAGCGGAAATTAAAACAAATATACTTTTGTCAAATTATATTAAAATCGTTTCAGATTTGGATATAGCTCTCATATATATTTTCGACCGATTTCATGTATTTTATGCACCATATACGATATGTATGTTTGATTCCAAAGAAATTTGGAATATGTAACGGGATTTTGATTAGAAAATAAATTAGTCAAATTATATTAAAATCGGTTCAGATTTGGATATAGCTCCCATATATATTTTCCGCCGATTTCACATATTTGATGCACAAAACACGATAAGTATTTCCGATTCCAACGAAATTCGGCATGAGTGGCTAAAATTGGTACAAAAATAAATTTGACAAATTATATTCAAATACGCTCAGATGTGATAATAGCTCCCATTTATATACTCAGCCGATTTCACATATTTTATGCACCCAAAGCGAAAGACAAAGAGACAAAATCTGGCACCAGAAAAAATTGCCAAATTATATTGAAATCAGTTGAGGTTTGGATATAGCTAACATATATATTTCGGGCGATTTCATACATATTATGCACCAAACACGATATATATGACCGATTCCAATGAAATTCAGAATGTGTGGCGGAATTTGGTTATAATAATAAATGTGATAAATTAATTGGAAATTAGTGAAGATTTGGATATAGCTCCCATATATATATTCTCGGCCGATTTCACATATTTGACGCACCAGTTTCAATGAAATATGAAAGGTGTGGCGGAGTTTGGTGTAAAAATAATTTTTGTAAAATTGTATTTAAATCGGATCAGATTGGGATATGATTTTAATAAGATCCATTGACCCACAACGCCTTAGGCTAACACTAAAAAACAACACAACAATTTATTTGAAATACGTTTATTACGGGGAAGTATGTTGCTATCTCGAATTCACTAATTGCAATAGAAATGCCACTCTACTTAAAAAAATTGCAGTTTCCTGCACGCTTGGTATTTGCTATGAAATAAATAAATCCAAAGGACAAATCCTTCGTGTATGCATGTATTAACGCATTAAATTAGTGCAATATTTATTTTTTTAATTTTTAAATTTGTTTTTCTTTATCCAACATATGTTCGTAAATAAAATTTTGAATGCATATAAAATCAACAGGGGTAGTGAAGCGCACCGGGTTCAGCTAGTATACTATATATATACTATATATATATATATATATATATATATATATATATATATATATATATATATATATATATATATTATATTATATTATATTACACTATACTTTCTTCTTTAATATTCATTAGATAACAAAGTAAAAAACAACGATCACTGAGGACTTAGACCCCCCGAAATCAAACAGCCTAAAATAAATCTCTTACTTGTTTATGAGTACGACACTCAAGAAATCATAAAATCCGATAAGAAACGTTATAAAGCCATTAGTGAAAGACAATTTTAAAAGTTTATTATCAAATTTCTTGAATATTTCCCAAATAATAATGATTTATTGTCTTTACGGAAAAATTGACAAAGAAATTCGAAGTCGTTTGAAGAATTATTGCTAATAAAATTGAAATGTAACAAGCAAAGGCTATAGTCGTGCGGGGCCGACCACTACAAATTGTAGAAATCCCCTCATATCCAAATTCATTTTGGAAGATTTCGCTTTTGAAATTATGTGATAGAGCACTGTCCTGAAATTACCCTGAGCTTTTTGACCAGGGATATTTGGCCAATATTTACGCACTCCATCGGGCTGTTAGTTACAGCTAAATATAATCTCATGGTCATCCAAAATGCTAGACTTCTTCCCTGTTCTTATCTCTCTTCTCAGGCAAAATCGTGTCGATTGGTTTCAATTTTGGATCATGGAAATATTTCTGTTTTTGGTTTATTTGAACCCCTAAATAATTTGCGATCATCTCCAAATGCAAGAGGTCCCTCTGTATCTCCAAATGTAGACTCGTCAACGAAACGAGGGAATTCAAAATTCGACCCGAACTTACTGCCTTTTAACTTGCTACTACTTTTTATACCCTTCTGGTACCTCCCCCACAAAAGGTAGAAATTTTCAACGAAAATATTTTACTGCAGAGAGAGAAAGGATAATCCGATTTTGCTCCAACTTTACAAATCGTAATATTTGCATCAGTGCTAGGTTAGGTGCGAAAATGGATAATAGCGGTCCACTCCATCAAGTACCTCCCCCACAAAGGATCAAAATTTTGTATAATTATAATAACTCTTATAAAATATGAAGTAAGAATCCGATTGTCTTCAAATTACACACATCGCAATATTTTGTATTAACCCAAGGTGTAGTGTGAAGATGGAATATATCGGTCTACTCCTTTTAGGACCTTCCTCACAATGGGTCAAAATTTTGAATATCCGTGAAGCTCATAAAACGTGAAATTAACAGCGGGTTTCATTCAGACCTAACAAATCTCAATATTTATATCAACACAAGATCCGCTATATAGATGCTAGAGATCGGACCATTTTTTCTGGTACCTTCCCCACAAAGGGTCAAAGTTTTAAATAACTTAAACGATTATAAAATCCAAAATAAGCGCACGGATCTCTTTATATTTCACACAAACCACAATATTTTTACTAACCCAAGTTCTGATGTAAAGATGGGATATATCGGTCCACTGCTTCCGGTACCTCAACCACTAAAGGTTAAAATTTTGAATATCCATGAAGCTCATAAAACGCGAAATTAACATCCGATTCCATCCACACTTGATACATCTCAATATTTTTATCAAAAAAAAGATCAGTTATATAGAGACACTAGAGATCGGACCATTTCTTCTGGTACCCACATAGGGTTCAAGACTTTGAAAAAGAAAACGCTCAAATGAAGCGAAATAAACATCCAACTATATTCATACATAGATACATTTTTGCTAACACAAGATCTGTTGTGAAGATATATATCTACGAACTCCTTCTGGTACCTCACCATTTTCAATACTATTACCTGCCATAACTTGCGAAACAAGTCAGCGATTTCTCTTAACCAAAAAACTGATTTCGGATTAAATTTGATATAAATGTTCGAATTTTTTCCGTACCATTATTTTATCTGTAGTAGATTAAGTATGAAAATGGAATACTCTGGTCGACTACAACTGGCACCATTTCCTAACATTTTCTAAAAATTATTACATAGCTCATGTAAAGTGAAGCAAGTAACCAATATATTTATTCATGTTCGATACGGAATGGACAATATTGGCTCATACCTTCGGGACCAACTCCATAGAGGGTGAACAATTTGAATAATTGTAACAGGTGTCAAAATATATTTAATTAATCAAACATTGGCTGAGGGTATACATATGTCTGCAAAACCGACTGATTCTTTTAAATTGTTTTTCTCTAATTTCAGATCGATGACATCGATGGCAAGGTCTCCACCAATCAGGAAATGTTATCATTGGCCATACGCTTTGCTCTTTATTTGAAAGGACGACGAATGACAAGTGAAGATATTATTGGCATTGCAGCACGTAACACCACCTATTTGACTCCGGTGGTATTGGGTTGTCTCTTCAACGGGACACCATTTCATGCCGTCAATCCCAACTTTCACGAAGGTACATATATACAATAAAGAAACCAGTAAGGAAAGCTCAAAAGTCGGGCGGGGCCGACTATATGATACCCTACACCACTATGCATATTTAGTAGAGCTCTCGTAAAAAGGTTTATACAGGGCATTTCAGAGCTCTATGAAATATTTGGTACAAAATCAAAATCTATCTAATTCTATCGTGCATTTTACGAACTATAACTATCTGTGAACCGGGTTTCTCCAAATTTGACGTATTAGCTTCTAGACTGAATTCGGTCTTATGTACGAAAATTCGGGCCATTTAGGCTGATATTGGCCATTTGGTGGTCAATTAACCCGAAATCGGATGAAGATATATATGGGAGCTATATCCAAATCTAAACCGATTTCGATAAAATTTAAAACAGCTATTTCTGTGCTCCATCTAATACCTGGTACCAAATATCACGGTTGTGGAGTGCATAGTAGGAATGTGAGGGCCTTCAAGATCAAATCGGACGAAAGATATATATGGGAGCTATAGCTATATCTGAACCGATTTTCTCCAAATTTGATATACTTGCTTCTAGGCCGAACTCGGTTGGGTGTGCCAAAATTCGGGTAATTTGGACTGATAGTGGACATTTGGTGCACATTTAACCCGAAATCGGATGAAGATATATATGGGAGCTATATCTAGATTTGATCCGATTCTCACCAAATTCAATAGGGTTCGTCCTTGGGCCAAAAAAATATTGTTTGGAAAATTTCATCTCAATCGGATAATAAATGCGACCTGCATTTTGTTCACAAGAATACATGGACAGACGGACGGACAGACGGACTGACATGCATAAATCGACTCAGAAAGTGATTCTATGAAGGTTCTCAAAAGTAACTATGGGTCTATCTCGTTTCCTTCTCCATGTTACAAACAAATGCACAAAGACACAATACCCTTACCACTATGTGGTGTAGGATATAAAAATAACCAGTAAGGAAAGCTCAAAAGTCGGGCGGGGCCGACTATATGATACCCTACACCACTATGCATATTTAGTAGAGCTCTCGTAAAAAGGTTTATACAGGGCATTTCAGAGCTCTATGAGATATTTGGTACAAAATCAAAATCTATCTAATTCTATCGTGCATTTTACGAACTGTAGCTATCTCTGAACCGGGTTTCTCCAAATTTTACGTATTAGCTTCTAGACTTTTGATTTGGGCTGATATTGACCATTTAGTGCACATTTAACCCGAAATCGGATGAAGATATATATGAGAGCTATATCCAAATCTGAACCGATTTCGATAAAATTTAAAACTGCTATTCCTGTGCTCCATCTAATACCTGGTACCAAATATCACGGTTGTGGAGTGAATATTACGAATGTATGGTACTAAAACTCTAAATCAGATGAAACATATATATGGTTGCTATATCTATAGTCAGTCCATTTGGACTTATATCGGCCATTTGGTGCACAATTAACCCGAAATCGGATGAAGATATATATGGGAGCTATATCCAAATCTGAACCGATTTCGATAAAATGACAAACAGCTATTTCTGGTCTGTATCTTATATCTGGTACCAAATATCATTTATGTGGAGTGCATATTACGAATGTGAGAGGCTTAAACACCAAATCGGATGAAAGATATGTATGGGAGCTATAGCTATATCTGAACCGATTTTCTCCAAATTTGATATACTTGCTTCTAGGCCGAACTCGGTTGGGTGTGCATAAATTCAGGTAATTTGGACTGATAGTGGACATTTGGTGCACATTTAACCCGAAATCGGATGAAGATATATATGGGAGCTATAGCTGTTTCTGAACCGATTTTCTCCAAATTTGTTGTATTTGCTTTAAGGCTAATCTCGGTCACATGTGCCAAAATTCGGGCCATTTGGGCTGATATTGGCCATTTGGTGGTCAATTAACCCGAAATCGGATGAAGATATATATGGGAGCTATATCTAAATTTGATCCGATTCTCACCAATTTCAATAGGGTTCGTCCTTGGGCCAAAAAAATATTGTTTGGAAAATTTAATCTCAATCGGATAATAAATGCGACCTGCATTTTGTTCACAAGAATACATGGACAGACGGACGGACGGACGGACGGACGGACAGACGGACTGACATGCATAAATCGACTCAGAAAGTGATTCTATGAAGGTTCTCAAAAGTAACTATGGGTCTATCTCGTTTCCTTCTCCATGTTACAAACAAATGCACAAAGACATAATACCCTTACCACTATGTGGTGTAGGGTATAAAAATTCGCTTTATTTTTTTCATATTTCAAGTCCTTAGCCGCATTATTTGATGGGCTTTTGTGTATATCCTCCATGGAGTTCGAAGTTTTAAAAATTTTAAACTAATTTCCATATCTTCTCCCCTACAGCTTCCATTGCCCACTGTTTTGCCATAACAAAACCGCCGATTATCTTCTGTGATGGCAGAGATTATAAGAAGATACACACAACCACAAAATCGTTTAAGCCCGAAATTTATACCACAAGTGAGCATATCGAGGGTGTTCCCACTGTAATGGATCTCTTCGTGCCGAACCAAATGGAATATTTTTATACGTAAGTGAAGCAATGAATATATATTTGAAAAAATCAGATTTCTTTCTTTCCTTCAGACCCGAAAACCCCACATTGGGTTCCGAACAAACCATTGCCATTTTGTGCTCCTCTGGAACAACTGGTCTGCCAAAGGCCGTGACATTGCCTGGGGGAAAACTAATGCCCGACCATCAGTAGGTTGCAATATAAAACAATTTTAGAAAATGTTTTTTTTTTTAACGTGTTCTTCATTTCTGCAGTTTTTTAAATGCCGACGATGTTGTTTTTGTATCCAGTGGCATAGATTGGGTGAGTGGCCTTTCATGCCTTGTGTCCAACTGTTATGCTGGCTTTACCCGCATTATTTCCAGTAAACCTTTCTCTGCTTCCTATTTTGTGGAGCTGGTCAAAAAATACAAAATATCTATGACTTTTTTGGCACCCATGCATGTAGTGGCCCTAAATGAATGTACCGATTTTAGGGCAGAAAATGTATCAACCATTCGAGAGGTTCAAGTTGGTGGAGGTTATGTTTCGGAGGAAAATTTTAAAAAGCTACAAAAAGTCATGCCCAAAGCCATAATTGTTTTCATCTATGGTATCACGGAAGTTGGTGTGATTGCGGGAAAATTTGGCATTGTGCACGGCAAGGCGGTGGGAAAGATAATACCCAATGTCCAGGTGCAAATTATCGATGATGACGGTAAACGTTTGGGACCCAATGAAGTGGGCGAAATAGTGGCTAAGATGCCCTGCCGTTGGAGCGGTTATTATGGCAATCCCATTGAAACTCAGCGTATTATGGATTCCATGGGTTGGATACGAACCGGTGATTTTGGTTATATCGACGATGAGGGCTATATGTTCATTGTGGATCGCAAAAAAGATATTTTGAAATATCGCAGTCTTCACTACTGGCCGGGAGAAATTGAGAATGCCATACGGGAATTGCCCGAGGTGGCGGATTGTTGTGTGGTTGGTATTTTCGATGATAGGGTCGGCGATGTACCCGGTGCCCTGGTGATTAGAAGGAAGGGCAGCAAATTGACCGAACAACAAATTATCGATCATGTTAAGACGAGATTGGTCGAACCCGAGAAGCAGCTGCATAATGGTGTCTACTTCGTTGAGGATCTGCCTCAGAACAATAATGGAAAGGTGGTGAAACGTGAGGTCAGGGAATTGTTCAAAACGCTAATGGCTCAGAATTTAGACCGTTAAAAATTGTTTTGAAAAAACTATTATTTATTTAGGTTAAGTAAATGATTAAATTTCCTGATGAAGAAAATAAATATAACAAAAATAAAATTAGAAATATCCAAAAATAATCATTAGCCTAACGATAGCTATTTTCGTCCATGATTTTTCAGCCAGACCCCTATTTCAGCCTATATAATTTCATATAAAACCAAAAATATACGATTATGTAAGTGTGTGCATGTAAATGTTAACATTTATTTAAAAGCAAGACAGCAGCAGCGGTATATCGCCAACACAAAAGCCGATTTATTTGAAATCCTTTTTAGAGAGTTGTTTTAAAAGGCCACGACACAACAAAGAAAACTATTCGAAAAAAACTGTTTAAAATAAAAAAATGAAAGGAATAATGCTGTTTACTTACATACACCCATGCATCTTGCATTACAACAGGATTAGATTTGTGGGAAAGGATACTCAGGATACCCTACTATGACAAAATCAATATCATTGGTTTTATAACAAATGTAAATTTTCAAAATACTTTTTACTTGACCTGAATTTTTCAAACATATCTTCTAAAGGACCAAAAGAATTTGGATTTCTATAAGGATTCTCAGAGCCATAAATGTGGATATTTTTAACAAATATTCTACAAATCCAACAGACCTAAAAACGTGAATTTTTCAAAACATATTTTCTGGACCACACGAGCTATAAACGTGGACTTCAAAAAATACATTTTCTAAAGGACCAACTGGTCTATAAATGGGATTTTTATACCTTCCACCTTGGAAAGGAGGGTATATTAACTTTGTCATTCCGTTTGTAACATCCTTAAATATTCGTCTTAGACCCCATAAATATATATATATTCATAATCAGCATAAAATTCTTAGTCGATTTAACGATGTCCGCCTGTCTGTCTGTCTGTCTGTCTGTCCGTCTGTCTGTCTGTCCGTCTGTCTGTATGCAGCCCACATTATTTGACGTAGAGTGCCAAAATTTAGCAGAGCAATTTGCATTGTGTCTAGTTCTTGTATAGTCCCTATATAACGGTACCTCCCGATATTCGGTATTTTGATGATTTATGCCACATTTTTTCACGGATTTGTCTGAAAATGGGTATTTGTAGGTCATAACGGATCCCTGAGCGTGTGGAAAAACATTGCATTTATACGTCCACGTTGTGGTATAGCCCCCATGTAACGGTACCTCCTGATATTCGATAATTTGATGATTTTTGCCATATTTTTTCACGGATTTGTCTGAAATTTGGTATTTGTTGGTCATAATGGGTTCCAGCTCCGGTGGCGAAGGATTACATGCATGGGTCCATGATTAGATATAGCCTCCATATAACGGTACCTCCCGATATTCGGTATTTTGATGGTTTTTGCCACATTTTTTCACTGAATTTTCTAAAAATTGGTATTTGTGGGTCATAATGGGTCCTAGTTCGTATGGCGAAACATTGTAATTACAGGTCCACGTTTTGGTGTAGCCCCCATGGTTGGTATTGAAAATGAGATATATCGGGCCACGTTCTGGTATAGTCCCCATATAACGGTGCCTCCCGATATTCGGCATTTTAATGGTTTATGCCACATTTCTTCTAATGTTTCGTTTACCCTAAGGTGGAGGGTATAAAAGTTTGGCCCGGCCGAACTTAATGTTTTTTTACTTGTTTAAACATATTTTCTAATGGACCACATGAGCTGTAGGCGTAAATTTTTAAAAATATTTTCTGAAGGACCAACTGTTATAGCTCAGTTGGTCCTTTAGAAAATATAAATGGGATTTTTTAAACAAATTTTCTAAAGGATCGACAAAGCTATAAAGGTGGGTTTTATAACCATATTTTCCTAAAAGCCAACAGAGCTATAGACGTGGACCAACAGAGCTATAAACGTGGATTTTTTAAACTTTTTTTCTAAAGGACTAACGGAGCTATAAACGTGGATTTTTTAAATAGATTTTCTAAAGGACCAACAGGGATTTTTTAAAAAGATTTGCTTAAGGATCTACAAAGCGATAAACGTGGATTTTTCAAAACATATTTTCTAAAGGACCAACTGAGCTATAAGCATGGCTTTTTAAACATATTTTCTTAAGGACCTTCTTAGAAGGCTTCTTTAAATAAAATTTCTAAAGGATCAACTGAACTATAAACTTGGATTTTTATACCCTCTAACATATGACTAGAGATGGTATATATTATTTGATACGGCCAAAAATATCGGTTGTATACCCTAGGTCCTTTTTGACCAAATCCGTTTCAAGACATTTGGAGTTGATCTAGCGGTGTCCGTCCGTCTGTTTGGCTGGTGCGCACGATAACTCTCAAAGGGAGTATCCGATTTGGTTCAAACTTGGCATATTGTAATATTATTGTCAAACTTAGATCGACTTCGGATATGGACAAATTCGGTCCACTCCTTCTGATACCTCGACCTCAAAAGGTAGAAATTTCCCAAAAATAAATATTTCACTGCACAGAAAGAGAAAGGATAACCCAATTTGGCTCCAACTTTGCAAATCTTAGTATTTGCATCGATGCTACATCAGATGCAGAAATGAAGAATATCGGTCCACTCCTGGTGTGAGTATGGAATACATATATTCTGCACAGAAAGACAAAAGGTAATCCGATTTTGCTCCAACTTTGCAAATCCTAATATTTGCGTCAGCGATAGGTCAGGTGCGAAAATGGACAATATAGGTCCTCTCCATCAAGTACCTCCCCCACAAAGGGTCAAAATTTTGAATACTTACAACTCTTATAAAGTGTGATATAAGAGTCCGATTGTCTTCAAATTTCACACATCCCAATATTATCATTAACCCAAGGTCTGGTGTTAAGATGGAATACATCGGTCCACTCCCTGTGGTACCTCCCCCATAAAAGGTAGAAATTTTGAATATCCATTAAGCTCATAAAACGCGAAGTTAACATACTTGGCACATCTGAATATTTCTATCAACACTGGATCTGTTATAAACACGGTAGAGATCGGACTATTCCTTCAGGTACCTCCTCCGCAAATGTTCAAACTCTTGAATAACCAAAACATTTATAAAATTCGAAATAAACATCGGGTTCTCTTTATATTTCACACATGCCATTATTTTTACTAACACAATTTCTGCTGTGAAGATAAAAGAAGGGATATATTGGTCTACTCCTTCTGTTACCTCCCCTATAAGGGGTCAAAATTTTAAATATCCATGAAGCTCAAAGTGAAATTAATATCCGATTCCATTCTAGACTTGATACATTTCAATATTTCCATAATACAAAATCTATTATAAAGATGGTAGAGATTGGTAAATTTCTTCTGATACCTGCCCACATGATCTGTCATAACTTGCGAAATAAGTCAGCGATTCTTTATAACTTGCTGTATCTAAATATATCTCTCTTAACCAGAAACTTGAGATAAATATGGAATTTATGATTTCCCATAAATTGGATATAAATGTTCGATTTTCTTGTAATTTTGACCATTCCAATAATTTTATTTGCATTAGATGAAGTATGAAAATGGAATGCTTCGATCGAATATATCTGGTACCTCACGCACATTTTAAGATTTTTTTAAAAATTTGCATTAATTTCATATAAAGTATAGGAAGTAGTCGATAAAGTCTAAGCCTGGCTCCTTGTAATATTTATATCATATTTATTTAGGTTCGATACGAATTGGACACTATTGGCCCATTCTTTCGGAACCTACTCCATAGAGGATCAACAATTTGAATAATCATAACGAAAGTCATAATATATGTAAATAATCAAACATTGGCTGTCGGCAAAACCCTGCTGTTGAATATATTTCGTGGAGAACCAAAAGAGCTATAAATATAAATTTTTCAATTATGTTTTCTTTAAAAAAAAAGATCTAAAATAGAGCTATCTTTCCCCTTTAAAACCATTAACTTTTAGGAATATTTTCTAAAGGCTGATTTAAGCTAAAAACATAGATTTCATCTAGGGTACCTTCAAACCACCATATCCCTCCCTTACAAAATATCCCACAAACAATAACATTTTTGGTACATCTACTTTTCAAAATTGTGTTAAATCGAAATAGTACAAAAAAACAAGTAAAAAACATTAAGTTCGGCCGGGCCAAACTTTTAATACCCTCCACCTTAGGGTAAAAGAAACATTAGAAGAAATGTGGCAAAAACCAATAAATTACCGAATATCGGGAGGTACCGTTATATGGGGGCTATACCAAAACGTGGACCTATAATTACAATGTTTCGCTACACGAACTAGGACCCATTATGACCCACAAATACCAATTTTTAGACAAATCAGTGAAAAAATGTGGCAAAAACCATAAAAATACCGAATATCGGGATGTACCGTTATATGGGGGCTATATCAAATCATGGACCCATGCATGCAATGTTCCGCCACCGGAGCTGGAATCCATTATGACCAACAAATACCAATTTTCAGACAAATCCGTGAAAAAAGGTTGCAAAAATCATCAAATTACCGAATATCGGGAGGTACCGTTATATGGGGGCTATACCAAATCATGGACCCATACATGCAATGTTTCGCCAACGGAGCTGGAAACCATTATGACCCACAAATACCAATTTTTAGACAAATCCGTGAAAAAATGTGGCAAAAAAAACTAAAATACCGAATATCGGGAGGTACCTTTATATGGGGGCTATACCACAACGTGGACCTATACATGCAATGTTTTGCCACACGCTCAGGGACCCGTTATGACCTACAAATACCAATTTCCAGACAAATCCGTGAAAAAATGTGGCATAAATCATCAAAATACCGAATATCGGGAGGTACCGTTATATGGGGACTATACCAGAACGTGGAAAAAAAAAACAAAAACAAAAATAAATGCATTGCCTACTACCATTCACAAGACATTTCAAAAGTTAAATCTAAGAATAAGAAATGTAACACCAACAACAACAAACAGTCTGCAAACAAACTGAGCAACGTCTCAAGGATTAGAGAGTAGTTCTTTCCCATTCGCTGTGGCTACTGTGCAAAGGGCTTCCGGGGAATACAAATGTTTTCCATCCATTTCAGTTTGTTAAGGCTTTTGCATTTTGAGATGCCAGCCATGCCTGACATATTTAC